CGAGCAATAAGTTATTTCCCTGTGAGGCATTACTCGTACATTTTAATACTCAGTACCTCGAACTGCAAATTCCTACCTCAGTAAGTCGAAGTTCATAAAATAAATAAATGTTCTATGAAATTCTGCCTTTTTATGTCGAAATTTGATGAGTTAACTCTTCATATCTCGAAATTCTTGTTAAGTCGAAAACTTGCTATCTCGAATTTTTTTTGGTTTCCCTTGACATTCGAGTTATCAAGATTCTACTGTATTGGGATTTTACGTGGATTGGCATCTGTTTAATCTTTTGTAAGTTGGTTATAAACTCAATTACTCTTGTAAAAATGCCGGTAAATATTTCCTGAAGCCTAAATATGAACTCCGCGTCGCTCAGTTGTATTCACTTGTGTTATGTTTAAATGATTTTGTAGTAATTACTGGTGCATCCCAACAAATTAGCTGAAAAATCGTGGTTAAGTTATAGAAATTTGCATTTCAATTTGTAGGGATGTTGGAATCATAATTACAACAATATTTCAAATGTTACCATCGATGTCATGTCTTTAAAAAATATTCTAGGTCATAATTGATAGAAATTAAAATATTTTTCGTCGTTACACAGAGAAATTAATATAAATCAACTAAATTATACAAATTTCATCGTTATACGGAGTTAATCGTTGAATTAATGAATTTTAAAACAATGTCTAGTTGTGTTTTTGAGTAAAATTACGCTCAGCATGTTATTTATTTAAAAATAATTCTTTGTTTTGACGTTAGATGTGGCTGCAATGCACTTATTTGCATTAAATTCGGATTGAGTTTCTCGCAGCAGTCAGGTCAAAACATCGTATCAGTTCATTTTTTTGTTTGGAGTAGTGTGTGCACATCTAGTCAGGTAGAGACAACAGATGACATGCAACGAATTGGTTTTTATTATCAGCGAGGCAAAGCATCAAGGTAAATTTACATACTGCACAAAAATAAACTGTATTGTCTCTTTAAATAAGTATTACTTTGCCATTTGCTCTTAAAACATCAATACCTATATCAAAATAAAACATTCGGATTTAGGTAGTCCTATTAAACAACTATAAATTTTTATTTCAATTTTTAAATTTAAATATTTGACTGAAATAAAGTTTCTCGTCAAATCTAATAACGTTTTTGTACGTTTTGTTTTCAAAAATGTGTGTAGATGTGTTTTCTTCCATTTTTCTTATTAATATTGCTTGAGTGCTTCATGCGTGATTTGAAATCAAACAGCGTTTGTTTTGAATCTTTGCAAAACTGATTTATTATTTAAGTTAAAGTAGAAAATAATTATTCATTTCACGTATCACATTTAGAACATTGTAAATCAAAAAGATCCCAAAAGAACTAAAACTTTTGACGTGCTGTTTACAAATGCAAAGGACGAATACAAAAAATACGAAAATGATGACTTACAAAACATTCTGGGAACGATTTGTGAAGAAAAAACGATTTTGAATGCTGAAAGTTAAAAATTTATGTGAATTTTAGCCTTAAACCAAAAAAAACCTTTTTATTTTTAAATCCCAAACACAAAAAAAGTTCTCACGCTCTAGTTACTCATTTTATTATTCCAATCAAACAAAACCAACCTAATTATATTATCTAGTCCATTTTATTCCAGTATAACTTAGCTAAATTGTCGTTTGTGCCCGCGCATATCCTAATAGAATAGAATAGTTTGCTCTGCACCCCCAGCTCATAACTCAGCATTAGGGCCCATTTACAAACCTCAAGTGGTTGGTATTTATTATAATATTGTGCTAATAATAACGCGTTACATCTCCACACACACATACACATACACCATGAGCAAAGCAATAGCAGGCAACTTACAAGCGAAGAGGAAGAGGAGAGAAAAACGCATGCGATAACAAAGGGTTGCGCTGGTTGCGGAGAAGCGCTGGAATTGCCCTCGAAGCAAACATCATAAAACACCCTTATCACATTCGGACGCGAGTGCGCATTCATTAGCCAACTATTATAAAATATTCAAAAGGTTTTCGGGTGCTTCAGAGACAAGCAGTGTGTTTATACACACACTTGGATAAGGGTTGTTATATCATTGAATTATTACAACACAATTTTGTATATTACGGTAAATATTAAATTTATATTAAGTAAATTTAGGTTATGATCAAAAGTTATAGGTACTTATTGTATTAATTGCTTAAAAACTCAAATTTAAGATTAAAAATTGAAGTTTTAGTTCAAAATTATGATTTTCTACTTATTACAGTCTTTAGAATACTGATAAAAAGTGTATTTGGTACAAATTTAATGTAGTTTTGTAAGAAATTGTAGATATTGCATTTTAAATGTGCTTAATTGCTTAAAAACGCAGATTTGAGCATAAAAATCGATGTTTTACTTCAAAAAACGTGAAATTTTAGGAGTTTTACTTTTTATTTGACGTTTATAAATTTAATTTAAAGTATTTTCTAAATTACAGCAACTATCTTGTAAAAATTTAAGTAAAATGCATTGATTTTTAACAATTTTGTGGTTTTTTTGTTTATATTTATATTGTTTAAGATCAAAAGTTATATTACTGCATAGATTTCAATAGGTTATGTTTACTCAGCTTGTACATAAAATTTTGAGGTTATATTAGCTATACTAATCTATTTATTTGTTAGATTATAAAAGCCAAACCCAAATAAACATAATAAATCACACAATTATAACAAAACCGTGTTTAACTTAAGTTTAGTTGACTTAGTGACTTTGTAACTCTCTTTAGTTACCTACACCTTGTCAAAAATGTGTAATATTTGTTCTGGTGTCTTCTTGGATTGATGAATGAACAATCTGCTTGTTAGTGCGACAGCAGATGATCTCAATGCAGCCCAGAATTGAATTCCATTCAACAAGCTCACTTGTAAGCTAAAAGTTTGTTCCATTGTTTTGTTGCATAGCACCTTCGTTGAAGGCGAAGAAGAAGAGCGCGTGTGTGCAAAGAAGGTGTTCTCGTTGTTGGCGCACTGTTTGCACCGTAAATTATTATTGTTTGTTGGGCGTCGGACGCCCAAGAAAGACGAGCGCACGTGCGTCGCGCCGTTACACATTCGTTTTGAATGGACGGACACGTTGTGTGCATTGTTGCATTCTGGCTGCGTTTGTTTGTTTGGTGCTGTGGCATTGACGGCGCATTGTGCGCCGGCTACCACCTTTACACGCGTCGCGCTTTTGTCCCCGGCACGGGAGAGGAGAAAATATGCGCTAATTGTATGGAAAGTGCGCATGCATCGGAGACACGCGCCATCTGCAAACAGAAATATTTCCAGTCGAGTTTTAGGAAAGCATAAATGTAAAAATAAGAAAATTTTCTTGAAAAGACTAAAAATGAGGTTATAGGTTATTTCAAGTGACAGCTGTCAATTGTCAACTGTCAAGCAAATGTCAAATGACATTTTCTTGACTCTAACACTACTATTTATTTAATTTTTTTGCAATTTTTTACAGAAAAAATTGAATAAAATTAAAAATCAGTTTTTTAAGGTTATAAATAGCGTAACTTTGTTTTATTACATATACAGATATTGAATCCGTATAGATTGCCTCGATTGCCCCGTTAATAAACCGTAAATTATCGAAATAAATTACCCACACACATACACAGCGTGCACGAATAAAGTGTAACCATAAATCAAGCGCGAGATGTGCAAGGCGTGTTGATAAAACAGGAACACTGCTTCTTTGCTCTTATTCCGCGCATCTTTTCGTTTCGTTTCGTTTCAATTACGACACGCCGCGATTCAGCTCGCTCCAGAATATTGCGATTGCGCTATTCTAAAATATACAGTATGTTCCTCACACAATCAAGTTGAAAACATCCCAGAATGCAACACTAACGTAATTATAATTGCAACTGACAGTATAATAAACTTAATCAAGAAATAGCTGATACTTCAGTGTTTAAAGCTAGTGAGATAGTTAGATAGTTAGATAATAACCTAACAAATCAACTCGTGACGGAATAAAATGTAATAAAATGAAATATGGCCGGTGATTATTGTTTCGCGTTAATAACAGTAATTTCCAGCGAGTATTAAATAAGTTATAAATATTAAAACACGATTGTAATCTGCCATGCTTCTATTTACGATGAAAATCTGAGGTTACGTTAGGTTAGGTTAAAGTCGCATAAATAAATTAACCAAGTTGTACATTGTGTGACCTGTAATTAAAATTTAAGTGCCGATCATAAAATTCAGTCGCATCTTATTAATTATACATTCATACCTTATACAATGTATAAATCCCCGAGGGCTAATAAACAAATTCTTATTCAGATGGAGACTTGATAAACTTGAATCGGACTTGAATTGATAAATGCCGTTTGCAGTTAAAACAAATATGTATGGGTAATTATTCGGGACGTTTCGAAAATCGGCCATAAATTGTTTTAATTGCGACTTTTGCTTGTTTCTTTACCATCCAACTGAAATATAAATAATGTTTGGGACCGGTGCACAGCTGCGTGCATCGTGATCGTCCATTGTTTTTTTGAGGGTCTAATTTAGGTTGTGGTCTATTCCCTTTGTCAAAATATTGGAGAATAAGAGGAGGTCGCGACCAATCGCCGTGGGCACCCATTTTTGTGGGTTTTATATTTTCAAACAACAAAGAAATGACCTATCATTAAGTAAATTTAAAATTTCCAACTGAGACAGCAGTTTTGGTTATGTTTTAATGACGATGTATATTGAGTTGCCTAATTTATATTTATATTTAGTGCGTTTTGTAATAAAATTGAGTACAAGTGAGTAGTTATTGGAATATAAAATAAAAATTCACTTGCATTCATCTCCATTAGGCATTCGTGCGTTGTTTATAATAACAATTACCTAATCGTTACCTTTTAAGCACCTAGCAGAAAAATGGCCGTGATGCGCGCTCGCTTTCAACTCCGCCGCACTGCGGCGGTAATAAAAGGAGTTAATCTTTGGCGAAATCGTACGATTCATCGTCATATGGCATTTAGTCATTCGGATTGATATTGCGACGGCGGCGCTCACTTAAAAGCCGATAAAACCTAATTGAATCTTTACTAAACAAACAGCACGGCTGCATTCCGAGTGAAATTGAGAAACAATAAAAACTAACGGCGTTTGTTGGAAATAGACACAAATAGCAACAAATTGTGGCGTGTGGAATGCTCACGGCTTTCCAGTGTGTTAAATTATTCGGAATTTTAATGTGCGCAACGAGTTAAGTGTCTAAATATCTATCGTAAACGTAAAACGTCTTCAATAAAATATTAAACACTTTTTGATTGATGTTATAATCACACACGATAATCAGTGTTGCCAGACATATGTAAATGTCATGTTGCATCTCTTCGAAAATTTCACAAAACCATCAAATTCTTAATTTGAAAGTTGCCCGAGTTGTGATTGATGTCTTATTGTCTGAAAGCTGAAATTTTTGAACCCATTTAGCAAAGAATCAATCAATCTTGAGTCTTGTGTGTGTTTTGATGGTTTCTGATGGGTTTTTAGGTATAATGCGCAAGGTTATGAAAGCGAGGCCGCGGTGTGCACAGAAAGGACATCTCTGGACATTTATTCCGGTGCTGACAGTGCGCGGAGGTGGGTGAGAGTGGTGCCCGAAAATGCCACACAACTTGACGCTGCGGGGCGCAGCGCTCACAAATTTCGGCCTTTTGAGCCGCTCGTGTTCGGACACGGGGCGGCACGGCGCTCTCAAGGAAAATGGAAAACGCTTTAATGCGGACATTTACATGATATACAGGTGAGGCGCAGTCACAACACACGTCGGGCGACCAAAGGACACAAATTGAATAGATGTAGATACAATTTGGATGGAGTGAAAGAAGCGCTTGGATTTCTCTTTTTTTTTTGGAGACAGAATCACAGAATCTATATTATCTATGTTAGGATATTAATAAATCATGAATAGATAGATATTTTATTATGTTTTTTGAGTTTTTGTATTTGTTTTGGTCCGAAATAGCAGAATAATTAATAAAATATAGAAAAATTTGCGAAAAAAAAGTTTGGAGAACAAAAAATAGCTTTTAGATAAGGTTATGTACTTTGACATACCGAATATAGGCAACCAATATTACACAAATTCTAATTTTACGAAAAACATTGACAAAACAAAATTTATTTTACAAAAATAACAAAACTAAAGTAAATTTAGGCAATAATTAATTTAAGATAATATTTTATATTTTCCGGAATTGTATTTAATTGTAAATAAAAAGTTAAATCAATTAACATGTCGACGTCACTGGCCGAAAGCGAAAAAAACCCGATCGGTGCGCATAAAGTAAACGAATCAATTGATGGCTTTCAATAAAATGCATGCCTGGAAGTGCTCGAAGTAAGTGCGAGAGTGTAATCGAGTGAAGTTGAGCGCCGAGATGGTTAATTATCGTTGCTATAGAAACGAAGTAATGGCCGCCCCGGCCTGGATGGTGCGCTAATCGTCGCTCGCACGTCGGAATGCGAATAAAAATAGTGCGCGTACATATTTATTTGAGCCGCTCATTGCATCAATTCCGAGAAAAACTAATATGGCCACCGGTTGATTGGACGGGCGATAAAGTCACCGAGGGCAAAACGAAGAATAAAATCATCGATTATATTGGCTCGTAAAAAAGCGCGCGCGCACACCGCCAAAGCAGCGCGACGAAAAAATATAAATAAAACGCGCGCAGCGCCAAAGAAACGAGATAGTATGAAAAGTCGAAAAAAAATAAAACGTAAAGCTTAATGTTGAATGCTCCACGAAGTGGATGGCGATGCCTGCGTCCTTCGGCCGGCGTTACCGGCTTGATATAGGTATAAAAGTGAATAATTTACGGCACGGTCAGCGCTTAATAGCTTTAATTAAAAAGTCTCATCGCTTGCGACATTCGTGGCGCGGCGGCCGGTTTTCGGTCCCAACGAATTGACAATTTGTCTCGGCGACCACGACCACTTCTTGTACGCCGCGGCAGCGGCCACTCAGGTTCTTCATTTCGTGGTATCGCGCGCGCGGCGGCCTTTTTGTTTCACCACTCGGAGGACTCGGGATGTCATCGCTTAACTTAAGCCGCTTTTTTTTCTCTTCTTTTTTTTCACCGTCGCTGAGACCTGAGACAAAACGTTTTTTACGGCAGCCAATGAGTAAACAACACCCGGCGATAAAACCTCACCCCGATATCGGATTCACTCAATTTATAAGTGCTTGAAATTTGTGCTTCCCATATTTTCACTCGAGATGCCGCGCGGCGACGATTCGGGCGCGAGATAAGGCGAATTTCGAATGTTTTCAGCGGCTGCGGGACAAAATGGATGCGCCACGCTTACCGGCGAACATGTGAAGGGAAATAAAACAAAAATCCAACACGAATGGATGCGTTGGTGATGGTAATGGCAACGATTTGGTAAACACGTTCGCCGTTTTGCATATAAACAATTGATCCAGACCCAGACCCGCGGACCACACAGGCAACCAGACACTCATCGGGCATTGTCTTCCACATTTTATTTCTTGCACCAGCAAGAAGACAAATAAAACAATAGACAATCAATGAGATAAATAACAGTTGACAACATAACAAGGGACTTCTCAGATGAATAAAATAAAACAAATTCATTAATATTTTAAAATATTGTTTATTTATATGCAAAATGACATTTAACGTTGTCAATATGTGTTATTTGCTAGTTTAACCTATAAAAATCAGTGTTCTAACCTATAAAATATAAAATTTACTATTAATAATAAATATTGAAGTAAAATAGGAAATGACAACTTAACAACAGACTTCTTAGAGGCGAAAAACGTATAATAAATTTATTAAAATCATAAAATAGCAGTGAAAACTGTCAAAACATTTATAATTTTCACGGAAAGATGGCGTTAGATGTCAGAAAATGTGAAAATTAATGATTTAACCTATAAAGTCTCAAATTTACTATAAATTCGTTGAAAATATGACAATAAACTTGTTTTACAAGCAAAAACTGTAAAAACTTTACTTATTTTATAGCTAGATGGCGTTACTAGATGTTTTAACATGTTACTTGCTAGTTTAATCTATAATAACTCCTATTTAACCCCAAAAACTAAAAATTTCCTGCTACATCGATTGTTTTACGATATTGTTTATATTATTGCCGGTATATCATGCTATGACATTAACTATGCATCAAACGAGCACTTAGAACGCATTAGCGTCTCCACTGTTGATTGACACTCGGTGCAATTTGCGATAATACGTTTATGCAAAGTAGCGACCGTGCATGTATCATTACCGCACTCTAATTGCGCCCGCGCGCCTCCATTTGCTTCTATTTGCATGTACACACAGCAGACACAAAACACATCATTTGATTCGCATTGTACAAAAGACTCGCATGCTCCATGTTTTTTGATGTGCGTTTATTACAATTGTTCGGCTGCCCGGCGTCGGTTATTATTGCGAGCATACTTACACTTTTCTCCGATGCTGCGGTCTTGTCCCTTCACTCACTCATTCGGCCCGACGTTGTCTTGTCTTGTCAAGGCGAGTCAACTCCGCAACTCCTTCCGCAGCGATCAAAACGATCAACGTTCTCAACAGTCTTGTCATGTCCGACAAGATCATGGGATTTAATGTGTGTATGCGTGCATATTAAGCAGGCGAACGCGATGCGTCTCGGGCGCATGTCACATATTCTATTTGCATAAATCTTAATGAATATTTAAGTCTTTATAATACATTTAAATTACGTAATTGAGTAAATTACGCGCGACGCGAAGGAAAAATGAACAAAACTTGTCAATTGTCAACGTGAAACGTGAATCTCATGCTTAAATTTAAATTGCGCTCATTATTTGACTAATTTTTGTCTAAAATTCTCATTATTTATTTTGTTTTTATTAAAAAATATATTTTTGACTTCCGGTGCACGTGATGATTGCTGAAATGTATTTTATTGCTTTATTATTTGCAAAATTATTGAAATGTTTTCGTTGATCATTCATCAAAGCGTGTATTACTGGTAATTAATGTGTTACGCGGTGCACAAACGGAAATTAAAAATAAAAGCACACCGCCGTGTGTGAACACACAGCAACAAAGCGAAAAAAATTATACAGCCCGAAGAAAATGAACTTATAATGCCTGCCCACACGTTATAATGAATTCATTATTTCTGTCGAGATCAGCATCGAGCATCAGAACGAAACAAAAATAACCAGCAGGAGCTGCACAAGAATCAAAACATGTGTCTTCATACAAATCAAGTTAATGTCTTCAATTTGCATATATTATTCAAGTTTATAACCTAAAAAAAATTAAATTTTACATTTTACACTCAAATATAACCTAAAAATTGTTGTTTTTGATTGTATTACAAAATCTAACCTTAACACGCAAAATGTAATCTGCAGTAATAATTTTCATCAAGTTTACGACATTGCTAGGCAAACTTGTAGGCGCGCTCAACCGCAATAAATAATACACGTGCACACACACTGATATCGCGAATCAGTTGGGCTGTTTGTTCGTACGGCGTAGATTCGGAGAGTGGTTCGTTCCGTGCGATAAATAACAGCAGGGCAGGTCGCGGAGGCGCGCAGCAAGGGTTTCGGGCAGCAAGATGGAGCCTGCACCGACCCGACGGAAAGGTATAAATTACCGCGGGTGCCCCAGGTGAAACGCGCCGCATAAAAATGTACACGGCGCGCATTAAAAAAGCGGTCGTGACGCTTCGACCCGAACACTGGAAAAAGAAAATGAGAAATGTGTGTGTGCATGCGGAGGTATCGTCTCTGCGCTGGGTGTATTAGAAGTGAGTTTCGTGCGACCCTAATTTACCGGGCCTACAACCCAACGATGGGACCGCCCCTGATCAATCTAATCGGTTTCTTTTTTCTTCCACCACGCAAACACAAATGTTTCGAGGTTTAATTGCGTTTTGTTGAAATTTTACTTAATATCCCTACTAATACTATAAATGCGAAAGTCCTGATGTTTGTTACACTTTCAAGCAAAAACTACTTAACCGATCATCATGAAAATTTGTACACATATTCTTAGTGGTCCCCGAATGGTTATAGGCTACTTTTTATTTAATAAAAAAATTATTTTTAAATAAAATAAAGAAATTGTTTAGATAATAATACCTCTGCATCTGGCTATTTGACTACTTTAACGCCATCTAGCATTCCAGCAATGAAGCTCAAACCTAAGTACTATAGTACCATCACACTGTATTATCACACTGTATACACTATACTTCCATAGACAATACTTTCAGCCATTTTAATCTTCTCGTCATTCTACTTCATTGTTACTTCTTCTGGGACTACAGACGCGTTCGGATGCAACTTCATTATTTTAGATATTCGCGAGCGAAGCGGCGGGTTAAAGCTAACCTATAATATTCACTAGTAAATTAATTAAGGTTCTGTGAACAAAATGATTTTTTTGAGTCCAGATGGTAAAAAACAGCACTATTGCACAAAAGCTGTAATAATTGGCAATAACATGCTCGATTCTCCTCTGTAATGCGTTTAAAACACGCATCGATGCGCACAGTCTGTGAAAACCATCATAATATTATCCTCGGCGAACAATTAAAGCCAAAATAGTGTTTGCGTCGGCAAGTTTCGCCAAAGAAACGCAATCAATGGCGGCGCATCGTTTGATACCCGCCGGAACATAGGTAAATCCCAGCGTGTGCATCAAAAAGTCACATTTGCACTATATGTGCACATCTAAAGAAAACTCCATGAAGAATGAACTAAAAGTGACACAATGAAAGTGATATATGTTTACACCGTCGGGGCAGACAATTAACCTAACCTTGTTTACCGCAACTGTCAAAGCGGGCTAATCTTTTTAGTGAACTTTTGGTCAATGAAGAGAGTCAATGCTGTGATCTTGTACCGCCCGAATAGAAATTCTTCGTCTTTCACTCTTTTGTGACCGCTGGGTGACCAGTACAAGGGCATGTTGCGATGAAGAAGATTTGAGAGGTATATCTCCTTGGGGTCGCTAGTATTTTGACTTTTATGTCGTGTCGGTAGCGTTTGTCGGCAAACATTGAGATCTGTGTGGGGGCCGTATACCTGTAATCTTATTTTTTGCCATTGAATGCAGTCAAAACATTCGTAATTTATATTGATGCTTAGTGTGGATGTTTTGACTTGCGGTTTCTCTAATGCTGACTTTTCGGCGTCTTTTTGCCAAAAATACACAATTGGATAAGTATCGTGCATTTCCGTTCGGGTTTTATTTTATTTTATTTTATCAGTCATTCGTTCCACATGAAGCGAAATTTATGTGGGAGAGATTTTTGCTGGAGTTTCAAGGTTAGTTACTCGAATTTTTCAAAAACAAATTTTTGAAAATTTTACGCAGACAGACGACAGGAGTATGTCAAGATTGTGCTGTAGTTTTATTGACAGGCTAACAAATGGTTGTCAGCATTTTGATGTTGGTTATAAATAAAATTCCGAATCAATTTTATTTACTTTTTGGCAGTTTGCGAGTGAACATCTGCGCCAATCAACAATCAATTGAAGATCATGCTGCAAATTGTGAGATTGTAAAGAGATTGATGTTGATGAAAAGCCTGCGTCCGCCATATGCTGCCATTTGAGGTTAGATTATGTATGTGCGCCATTACACGCACTCAAAGCAAATTTCGCCGCGGCGGTCAAGAAAATAATTATTATCACATTACGCAATTACTTCGAGTTGGGAGCTTCGAATTACTTTCGTAATTTGCACAAGATGGCGTCGCTATTTGCACACACCACCTGTTATCAGCCACACATGACTCCTATTAATCGTCGTGGTAATATTCAATTATTTTTGCTCTGCGCTGCGAAATTGGTTCGCTCACGAGCACTCTCAAAATTACCTCCGTGTGGTTAAAAAGAATGAAAGATGTGCCACGCGAATGATATATTGCCGGACGATGGCAATATGGCGCGCACTCTTCTGAGGCGCACAAATCGTCTGGCATCATGTATCTCGCTCACCGCACTCTCACCCCAAAATAAAGAAAAACGTTGCGTTTTGGGAACACGCTGGTGTTGTTATGTGCGGTGAGTGCGGTTTGCGGGACTCGATTGGTCCATGGAAAATGGAACAGCTGCTCGCCGGCGCAGGGAACTACCATTAATATGGGGATCATGTGAGCAATGATACATCTCACAATATCACAACATAACAAATCTTCTCTCATTTCATTTCAGTTCAAACACAAAACTACAAAACTAAAAAAAACTAAAAATGAAACAATTCATGACTTAAAAAGCGTCTAGCGTAAAATTAAGGTTATGTTCTCAACATAACCCAACTAATGGTGTCTTGTGTGTGTATATGAGAAAAATTAAATTTAGATGATTTATCTCCACACATGGTGGATTTCGTATAAAGGAAATTAATCGTAATAAAAGAGCGAAATGGTAAAACGTTGGATATGGGTGGAAATGATCTGGAAACGAGTCAGCCGGCGGTATCATTTCGAAGAGCGCGCACCGCGGGTCGCGCATCGCACGTCCATTACTTTAATACGCTCATCTCGCTTGATTGCGGGATGGCCGCGCCGTTAAAAGCACCACACCGAGATAATTAATAGCGCTAATGCGATTAAAGCACTTATAATATTTTTCAGCTTCGGACCATGTGCAATGGCGGCCGCGGACACTACTCGAACATAATTTAACGCTCGAAATACCACGATATACCTACAAAATGCACTCGAATACGTTCAATTAAATTTTATGATTTTTACTCAAAATATTAAAAAATCAAATTTAAAAATTTTAGAGTTTATGTTACATAACCTAACTTTAGTATAAATTTATTTTTGCTAGAATAGAGTATAAAAATTAGGTGAAAGTTATAACGGTATCACGAAAGGTTCTCTTTAGTTCGAAGACAGTTAGAGCTTTTGGAATAAACATGTCGAAACGGAACGTTGCGTGTGCACATCCCGGGGTTCGACCGCGTCTACCTATTTGC